AGAGAAAGAACTTGGTCCCACCTCCACCACAGACTACAGCTGAGGCTCGCTGGCCTTCAGAGGGAAGGTCAATTGCCCAACTCCCAGAAGGGAAGCCCACATTCTCCACCATCTAATGATGGGCTCCTAACTTGCCAAGTTTACATAAAGTTGGGAGCCATCGCAAGACCAAGAAAGAGCTTACAAAGGGTCACTGGTTTCCCCATCATCTTCAGACCTACTGCTGTGTGTTCAACCACTCGGGCACACCGTGGAAGGGATCCAAGGTGAGCATAACAGACAGTCACCTGCCCGCACCGAGAGGTCAGAGAAGCGAGAGTAAGACGCACAAGCAAAAGTACTGAGGCCAGCTAAAGAAACCCCGGTGGGCGTTTACTCCCTCAATTCGCATCCATCGTGTTATTTCTGCGCTAGACATGTGCTGCGGGGGACCCAGCGATGAGCAAAACACCAAGACCTGCGCTGTGAGGAGTAGACAAGACTGTCTGCAATGGCCCTGCGAAAGCCTGGCGTAGGCAATGCTCAACCCTGAAATAAAGCCAAGAGCCCCCAGAGCCTGAGACGTGAAGCCCCGCCCACTGGGCGGCGGACCCGCCTCTCGACGTCACGACCACGCCCAGACCGCAATTGCCCTGCCTCCTCGCCGCAGCCCAAACCCGACGTAGCCACGCCCACCACATAGCCCGCCTCACCCACCCCCTTAGCACCGCCCCCGCTGCAGCCCAGACCACGTGTTGCCCCGCCCCGTGACGTCACGGACCCGCCCCTCCCACTGCCCCCTCCCACCGCCCCCACCCCAGGCAGCCCCGTTCCTCACCAGCTCGAACCGGTTGTTGACGCAGACGCCCTCCTTCCCTGCGCCTCGGGGACGCCGGCCACCTGGACCCCGCTTTGGAGCTTCTTCTTCCGCATCATCGTCATCGTGGAGGACAAACTGCAGGGCGCCGGGCCCGAGGGGCTCCTGGCCGCGCTGTTCCCCCCTCAGCCTCCGGAGGGCCCGGCGCGACATAGGACCCAACGGCCGCTGACGTCTGGAGACAGGGAGAAGGAAGAGCAGAAAAGAGAACGGCCGGCACGCCTGCGCACTTAGGGCGCGCTGGCGCGAGGCTGCCGTGTCGCGTCTGCGCGCTGAGGTTCTCCGGAACTTCCTCTCCGTCAACAGGGGCATTAGAGAAGGTGCGGGCGCGTCCAGGCCAGTTCTCGCGCGAGTTGGGCGCCTCCGTGCGGCGGTCTCTCTCGCGGTACCAGCGCTGGGTGTCTCAGGGTCTTCCGGAGGCGTGTCCGCGACCGCTGTCGGGCTGGGGCGGGGCCTACACGGGCTCCGAGCCGTCTACACCGGAACCTAGACCCTGCTCTCCAAGTGCGGGCTCGCCGGGCGGGAGGAACCTGCAGGTGGGGCTAGGTGAGGAGGACGTGCGCGCAGGTGGGCGCACTGCCCCGTGGCGTTCCACCTGTGGCGGTGCACAGGTGACAAGACAGCTGGGCGACCTGGAGGGCAGGTGAGTGCTCTCGGTCTGCCTCCGCGGTTGCAGGCGGGACATCTCCCTCATTAAAAGTAACATCCAAATCGAGGAGCTTCCCAAAGCTGCAGATTTCTGGACGTCTTCCTCCCCGGGATAGACTGAAACCGAATCTTAGGGGCTGTCCTGGGCGTTTGCCTTTTGTTGTCGTTAATGCGTCCCAGGCGATTCTCCTGTTCGTCTAGGTACGGGAATCCCTTACTGTGTTTTAAGCTCCTGGGGAGATTTTTGCAATAAAGATCAAGGACCCACCCCAAGCAATTCCGAGGTGGGGTCAGGCATTGATATTAAGAGCTCTTCAGGGGATTAAAATGTGCAGGCAAGGGGCGCCTGGGTGGCTCAGTCGTTAAGCGTCTGCCTTCGGCTCAGGTCGTGATCCCAGGGTCCTGGGATCGAGCTCCACATCGGGCTCCCTGCTCAGCGGGAAGCCTGCTTCTCCCTCTCCCACTCCCCCTGCTTGTGTTCTTTCTCACTGTGTCTCTGTCAAATAAACAAAAATCTTTAAAAAAATAAATTAAAAAATGTGCAGGCAAGATTGAGAACCTCTGCACTGCAGAGCTCTAAATGCAGGAGCAAGAGGAAATGGCGTGAGTGTGTTAGAAAAGAGGAGACGGCAGCCTTGAGTGTGGCGATGGCACTCTACCAAATTCTTACATCCTGGGAATAGGTACTGGGATTCAGAGAGTAACTGGCCCAGGTGGAACCTGGATTTGCATGCAGGTCTGTGGTTCCGAGGTTCAAATGAGGAAGGCCACTGGCAAGGACCAAGAAAGGGAGACAGGGACAGGATGGGTCATGGCCTCTGGGATCCCTCTCCCTTGACCCTTGAGCTCCACCCCATCCTGCTTTCCTCTTAAGTCTGAATGTTCCTCTCTCAGATTGAGAATTGAGTCTCCAGAGACACAGAGAGGGAGAGGGTGTGTGCCCACAGGTGTGCGTGGCTGGTCAGCCTGTACTGGTCCTCGGGATCTTGCAGTACTTCACATTGGCTGTCTCTAGTCCCCGACGTGCACCACCTGCTCCAGCCACTCCCCTGGAGTCCCCTAGAATTTACCCTCTTTACTTGCCGTAATCCTGTTATTAAAGGGCTACGCTTAGCTCCGGGGGAACCTCCAGGACAACACTCCCTTGTCCATGCTATTGTCCACGGCCAGGCTAAATAGATTGTGTCACCCCTGAAGCAGTGTGACCGATTTATGCAGGTTTCTTGCCTCCCCTGTGGATAAAAACTTGGGGAGCCTCAGCCTGGAAATGCTCCCTCCTTTGTGCTTCCACAAGAGAGCAGCCATGTGCCACTGAGAGATGTAACATCAGGCCCAACCTGAGTGGAAATCATGAAATCTCTCCCTGTACCACCGAAGGCATGGCCCTCAGTAAGGAGTTTGGTTGTAAACAGCTCTAGAGAAAGCTCCGTTGGTCACAATCTAAATTAGGTGAGGTAGAGATAGGACTTGGTTCAATGGGGTGACTGCATGGCTTTCAGTACCTGGGGCCAGCAGGAGGCGAGCTCCGCAAGAATGTGGAAACACCCTTCCGATGTGGGCCCCTTGCGGCTCAGCCTAGCTGTCCCAACATGGGTTTTTATTTTTATATCCCAAGTATTCCTGTGTGGAGTAGAACCCTGGTTTCCCACTATTGGGAACGTGGGCCTGAACCTATTCCCTGGCCCACTTCCTCACCTGTGTAATTAAAACAATGACAACAGCGCTCACTTCCCAGGAGCAGCTGCCCATGGAGGTTGCTGCACAAATATTAGCTTTCCCATTGCTGGCTGTGTGACTAGGAGCAAATCTTTACCCTTTCTGTATCTGCTTCTCATTTTTCTTTTCTTTTTTTTTTTTTTAAGAGAGGGAGAGGGGGGCAGAAGGCTCCATGTCCAAGGGGGGAGACCAACAAGGGGCTCGATCTCATGACCCTGCGATCATGACCTGAGCCGACATCAAGGGTTGGACACTTAAGCGACTCAGCCTGAGGAACCCCTTGGCTTTCTCATTTTTGAATGGGAATAATAATACTCCCTGCCCATGAAGTGCCCAGAAGTGTTGGAAGCTGATGTTTTTATTGGCTGTTGTAATTTAGTGTAATTGAATGTCATGGACGCCAACTGATGAAGTACCCTCTCCTGCAGGCCCCTGTGTTACAAGTCCTGTCCCTTGGGGCCTCCTCTGGGCCCCTGTCCATGTGACAGGCAATTAGAGCCTGGCATCCGATAGGCCTGGGTTGAGGTCCCAGGTGAGCTGTCTTTGGCCAAATTCCTTCCCCTCTTGAGTCTCAGTTTCCTTACCTGTAAGGTGGGTTGACACCCACCTCCCAGATGCATGTGGCAAGCGGAGCACCTAGGTGCTTCTCCAGCCATTCTCCTGAAGAGCAGGTGGAGCTGCCTCCACCCTGCAAACCCTAAGGGAATCATCTGCCCAGAGAACAGGAGTAGGGATCTGGGGATGAGGCCGGCAGTTTATAGGCATCAGGCTGAGCCACATGCAGCCCTGCCGGCCATGGGACCAAGATGGCCAGATCATGAAGTTGGGCATCATGGACAGGAGTGCGCCTGAGCACCTTCATCTCATGATGGGCGTCCTGAATGTGCACCACAGGGCAGGTAGCCCCTAAAAGCCCAGCTTCTGCCCTCGGAGAATGTGCCCACCACTGTGGCTCAATAGTTCTCAGCCCACACCCCAGACAAAAGACTGTGAGACCACCTTTATTAGGCCAAGAGCAGCTGTGTGTACAAATTTACAGAGTTCTTCACTGCTCCAGGATCACCAGCATCACCAGGGCCCTGGAACCAGCACCATCTCTGGACCTCTGAGTCTGTGAGGATGGCTGGGGCATGGAAGCTGGGCAGGGGGCAAGGAGGGAGCTTGGCCTTGAACCTTGCAATTGGAAGGGCATGATGCCGCTAGGAAAGTATCTGCCCACTCCTGGTCTTCCCGGCTGCCTCCGCAGACCAGGTTCTGCTCAGAGTGCTCCTGTCTACCTGGGGACCAAAGCATCCTGTCCCAGCCTGGACATCTACCCAGGGAGGGGAAGCTGCTGTGTTCTCATCCTTGGGGATGGAGAAGAGAACCAACACAGGGGTGGGGGTCTTCCCAAAGCCCTATCATCTGGAATCCACTGTTGTATCTCCAACCTGCCCTTCTTCCTGAGTGAGAAAACCTACTCCAGTGCAATCCCCTACCCCCAGCCAAGGACTCCCAAAAGCAAACAGCCTCCCCCGGGGAGGGTCCTGGAGTGAGCCTGACCCCAAATAAACTCTGGGGCCAGGAAACATGTATATAAATATATAGGCTGTGTGTATATATTATATAAATGTATCTATATATGTATATATGTACATGCACACTCAGGAGGGCAGGCCAGCAGCTGTGGCCCAGGATGGGGAGTTTCTTAGCCAGGGGGCAGGACTAGCCTGGCTCCTCTCCAGAGACCTGGCCACCTTGAAAAGCCTCTGGCTAGGTGGCCCAGGAAGGCTGAGAGCCATCACTTGAAGTTGAGAGTCCACGTGTTAGGGATGTAGAGGGACTGGGTTTGGCGGGTACGGCGAGGCGTGGTGTTGAGGGCATCCACACTCTTGCGGCTAGAGCGTACCACATCTGCCACGAAGCTGGTGCAGTCGCTGCACACATCCTTGAGGACACAGCCGTGGGTGTAGATGTGTGGGAATGCCTGCTCCACACTCTGCCACTGGGGCCCCTGCAGGGATCTGGAGCAGGACAGAGCTGTCAGGGTAAGTCTCTCCCCGGTTCCTCCATATCCACAGCCCACCCGCCATAACCCCTCCATCTCCTCCCCCCAGCAAAAGCTTTTTCCTCAAGAGGTAGCTGGAGTCTTGGGATCTGCCCACCAGTTCCGTTTCCAGCTCCCACCACTCAGCCCCCAGACCCTCTGAGAAGTCTCTTACTAGACAGCTGCCTTGGATTTCCTTGTCCTGGGAGTGTCCTAGCAAACCACCCCACCACCCCCCCAGCTCCTTTATTACTGTCAGTGCCTGACCACCACAGTGATACCAGCAAAGGGCAAAGGAACACACTGAAAGGGATCTCTTCTCTGCGTCGGTGTAGTTCTGGTAGTTGACACCCTCCGAGGACTCTCAAAGCCCAGCGTGTAGACAGGAATGTGCGCAAACTTCTTAGAAGGCATCTTCATCTACAACACACAGACGGAGATGTGGACCAGGCACCCCCCAGAGACAGGCACGTGCACACACACACACCCACGGACAGCTGCCTGCTCTCGTCCTGCGTGAGACTCTGGAAGTGTCTAGAGGTCATCATTTGCCCTATGTGTGCTCTCTGGACCCCCACTCCACGCCTGCCATCTGAAGGCATGGGCCCCCTTGCTTGGTACCCACACCCAACCACAACTTGCACTCCTCTAGACAGACACTTGTACTGTATACCATCTGGCACACACCCTGCATGCAGTAAATTCTTAATGTTGACTAGGTGGAGGTTTCTCAGCAGTGAAATGGCAGAATACGAAGGGTTTGAAAATCGTGGTGGTAAAACCCCTTTCCCACAGGCCCTTGTTTCTAGGCTGGGGTGTACCAGGATGACACAGTTCTAAATGGGACTCTACCCTCTGTCTGTGCATCTGCAGGTACAAAGACCCCCCCCAAGACTGCTATAAAGAACCTGTCCAAAAACATTCAAGGAAGTTGCAGTGTCAGAAGGTAGGACCTTCCAAGGGGAAGTGTAGGGTTTTTCTTGGCACCAGCCTGCTAACATGGAACGTCAAAAAACATTTTTGGGGGGCACCTGGGTGGCACAGGTGTTAAGCTTCCTGCGTTCAGCTCAGGTCATGATCCTGGAGTCCCTGGATCAAGTCCCGCATCGGGCTCCCTGCTCAGCGGGGAGTCTGCTTCTCCCTCTGACCCTACCCCATCTTGTGCTCTCTCTCACTGTCTCTCTCTCAAATAAATAAAATCTTTAAAAAAAAAATTTTTTTTTTAAAGACCACCTACAAGTCTTTAAAAACTACACAGTCTTGGGGCACCTGGGTGGCTCAGTCGGTTAAGGGTCCGACTCTTGATTTTGGTTCAGGTCATCATCTCAGGGTCGTAAGATCAAGCCCCACGCCTTTCTCCATGCTCAGCGGGGAGTCTGCTTAAGATTCTGTCTCCCTCTGCCCTTCCTCCCCCTCAAAGAAAATAATAATAATAAAAACTACACAGTCCTGGAAAGTGTAGGGATGGGTTTTGTGTGGAGGAAGGAGATGGACAAGCTGGTCCATGTGTGACCAGCTCACAGGAGACAGCAGGCCTCAGTGCACCCCCCACCCGGATCTGCCCCTCTTGACAAGCCACGTCAGCCACAGGACGCCTCACACACCTGGGGCCTTGCTCAGACCCCAGACACGCCTCACCTTTATGCTGCAGGACGTGCAGACAGCCCTGGAAGGGAAAGAGGGGGGTCAGCTGTGAAGAGGCCACAGAGAAACCGTTCCCGCCAGTCAGCTGCCCTGCCCCCTGCCCGACCCCCAGTTATTCAGTATTTCGCTTATTTTATCCCCAAATCTTGCTCTTCTTTTTAATTAGCTGTACATCCAAAATATTTCTGCCCCTCACAGCTTTCTCTGGATGGTTTGGTCTGGGGATTCTTCGTGTGCCTGACACTCCCACGACAAGCCCTTCCAAGCCAGAGGGGCCACAGTTGAGCAGCTCAGTTTTAAGCAGTGATGAACATCTTTTTATTGCCCATTCCTGATTTCAAAAATGAATGCCTTCTTGGAAAAACCCCAACAGAGAGAGGACTGTAATGGAGACCCAGGAGCCCTTAGAGGCAATCCTGCTGACACGTTTCCCTTCTCCAGATCCAAGTGCGATTGACAAAGACACACATTTAAACGTAAAATAAAAATAAATGGGGTATTACGCGTACTATTCTATAAAGATACATCAGGGGACAAATTGTCCAAATTTATTCTTTAAAAGAAGGGACTGTGTCCTCTTGCATGGACATCTTATAATTGGTTTGCCATCTAGAAACCTCTGGGTTAATTTTATCTTGTTTCACTGTGGTCAGGGAACGTACTTTCCATGACTTGAATCCTTCTGCATTTTTGAGACTTGTTTTATGACCCAGAATATGGTCTATTTTGGTAAATGTTCCGTGCGCACTTGAGAAGGAGTACATTCTGCTGTGGTTGGGTGGACTGTGCTATGAATGTCAGATCAAATCAGTTGGTAGTGTTCAAGTCTTCAATATCCGTAGTAGTTTTCTGTCTGCAAGCTTTATCAATTGTTGAGAGAAGGCTGTTAATCTCTAATTAGAACTCTGGATTTATCTATTTTTCCTTGCCACTGTATCAGATTTTTACTCCACATATTTTTGACTTCCGCTGTTAGTATGGCAGGTGTTTACAACAGTTATTTTCCCTCCTTATCATTATGACAGGAACACCCTTTATCTCTGGTAATGTTTCATCGTCTTTCTTTTGACTAGTGTTGGCAGGGACTGCCACTCTTCTTCTAACTAGTCTTTGTCTTTTTAGGTAAAGTACATGTCTTGCAGGCAGCAGATGGTCTTGCTTTCTTTAGTCGTCTGTTGTGTAGACATTTTACAGTTAAGGTTAACTATGACACAGTGGGGTTTAGGACTATCATCTTGCTGTTTGTTTTCTTTTTGCCCTATTTATTCTTTGTCCCCTTTCCCTTTTTACTAATTGATTACTTTATATGATTCCATGCTCTTCCTCTGCTTTCTTACTTTAGTCGTTGCTTTCAGATTTCTACTATACTTCTGTAACTTATCACACTCTACCGTCAAGTAATATTTTACCACTTCATGTAGAGTATAAAAAACCCCCAGTAGCATCCTTCTTCTGACTCCCTCCTTGGCATTAATGCCATTGTCAGGGTACTTTTTACTTAGAGGTATATTACAAATCCCGTAATACATTGCTGTTAATTTTTTGGCATGCCTGGTAATCACTGAGACGGGACACTGCATTTCACCCTGTTGGGTGCTGGATCTTGATTTACCTTGTAAAGAGTTGTAAGAAAATCAACTTCTATGTTCTCTTACTAGTTGCTACTTCCAGTGCTCTCCATCGGTGTGGACGCAGATTGCCATCTGGTGTCATTTTCCTTGTATGTGAAGGACCTCACTGAACATTTGTTTTAGTGGGCCTACTGCTGAAGAATTCTTTTGGTTTTTGTATTTCTGGAGATGTTTTTACTTTTTGTCTTTGTTTTTGAAGCAGTGTTGCTAGGTATAGGATTCTAGGTGGACACTTTTTCAGTCCTTCAAAAATGCTCTTTTACTGTCCTCCTGTTGCTCACATTATTTCACTGAGAAGCCTGCAACCACCTTTGTCTGTCCTCTCTACTTGTCTTTATTTGCTGGCTGATTCTAAGAATTTCTCTTGGGGCACCTGGGTGGCTCAGTTGGTTAAGCATCGACCCTTGATTTTGCCTCAGCCCACGTCACGTTCTGCGCTCAGCATGGAGTCTGCTTGTCCCTCTCCCTCTGCCCCTCCCCTGCTCTACTAAAATAAGTAAAATCTTAAAAAAAAAAAAATTTCTCCTTATTACAGTTTTGATCAATTTGGTTAGTATGTGCCTTGGTTGTAATTTTTTTCATGTTCCTTGTGCTTAGGGTTGAGTTTCTTGTGAATTTATATTTTTCATCAAATTTGGAAAACCTTTTTAGCTATTATTTCTTCAAATGCTTTTTCTGCCCCCCCCCTTTCCCTTGGGGACTTTAATTACATCTACAGTAGACTTCTTAACATTATCCCACAGCTCACTGGCACCATTTTCGTTTTTTAAAATTATTTTTTCTCTCAGTGTTTTCATTTTAGTTTCTACTATTGCTTTCTCTTTGAGTTCATTAATTTTTTCTTCTGCACATTCTTCCGAATGTTGAATCTGCTGTTAATTTTATCTAGTGTAATTGGGAACATTCATCCAAACATTCTGGTTTTTATGTCTAGAACTTTGTGTCTTCTTCAGATTTTTCATGCCTGTAACTTTTTGAACATATGAAATACAGTTCAAAACTTTTAATGTACTTATCTACTAATTATAACATCTATGTCAGTTCTGAGGGATTTTGATTGATTTTTCTATCATGGGTCATGTTTTCCTGCTTTTTTTATTTTTAAAGATTTCATCCATTTTTTGACACGGAGAGAGACACAGCGAGAGAGGGTACACAAGCAGGGGGAGTGGGAGAGGGAGAAGCAGGCTTCCCGCTGAGCAGGGAGTCCAATGCAGGGCTCGATCCCAGGACCCTGGGACCATGACCTGAGCCGAAGGCAGACGCTTAACAACTGAGCCACCCAGGCGCCCCTGCTTTCCTGCTTCTTGACATGCCTGATACCTTTGATTAGACGCTAGACATTTTTATCTTGCTGGGTGCTAGATATTTTTCTATTGCTATTCTTGAGTTTTGTTCTGGGAAGCATTTAAGATACTTGGGAATGGTTTAGTCCTTTTAGGTCTTGCTTTTTTTCAATTTTTAGGTCTGGAACAATGCTCAGTCTAGGGGTACTTATTCGCCACTAGTGGGACAAGACCTTCCTTTGTATGCCACTCAGTGGCTCATGAGTTAACAACATTTCCACCATGGTTGGTGGGAACAGACACTATTCCTTCCAAGCTTTAGTATACTTTTCTGTAAAGGGTCAGATAGCTAACATTTTAGATGTGGCTAAATGAATAAACAAAGGATGTGGCTTTGTTCCAATAAAATTTTATTTACAAAACAGGTAGTAGGCCAGGTTTGGAGTCTGCCAGTCCTTGCTACAGGATGCTTCTTCCCCAGCCTTCAGTAATTTCCTTGCTTATATGTGCTGATAAGTACCCTGCTGAGTACTGCAGGGGGATCTCACCCTGTGGACAGCTCTCTCCCTGCTTGGAAATCTACACTAAGACCTCTAGCTGCCTTGGTCTCTCTGGGTTCAGCTGTACCTCCTCCCCTCGAGGAGCCAAGTGGCCTCTGGGCCATGACCTAGAAACTCCAGGTGAGGCAATTGTAGGGCTCAGCCTGTTTCCTGTGGTTACCTGATATCCAGTCTCTTGAAATCTACTGTTTCCTGTTCTTTGGGTTTTCTGTTTTTTATGGGTTTTTTTGGTTGTTTCAGGCGGAAGGTGCCCGTTCTAATCCCTGTTACCCCACCTTGGCTGAAGGTGGGAGTCCCTTAGCTATTAAAATTAAATTCAACATTGTGTCCCATGGTTGCACTAGCCCACGATACATGATAGAACATCCCCACAATCACAGGAAGTTCTACTGGACAGTGCTGGCTTAGAGACGCTTACCTCCTCCTCCCATGTTAATTCACAGCCAGGGTGCTTACAGAGGCTCACCTCTTGCAAAAGAGACAGGTGGGTGGCCAGGAGAACAGCGGGAACTTGGTTCGGCAGCAGCAACAAATCTGTAAGAAAAGGCCCAGATTAGTTAGTCCTGCCTGGTGAGGAAGCAGCGCAGGGTTCAGGCCACCTGGCCTGCCCTCCACCCAGGGCTCCTGCCTGACGAGGGAGCAGCTGGGTGCAGGCCACCTCACCTTCCCCTTCCTTAGACTGCTGACGAGCTCCTTGTTCTGCAGGAACTTCTCCATCTCGGCCTTCACCAGCACACGGCGCACGTCCATCACCTCCTCCACAGTCAGAGCGAGGCTGTCCACAGGGTGGCTGAACTCCTGGGGACAAAAGGGGCAAGGGGTCAGTGCTCCTCAGGTCTTCGGGAATGAGGCCTTTCAGGAGTCTGTCCACAAGGTCCTCTCTTCTGTAAGGACTCTGGAATCTTTGTGGCCTCAGCCTACCCAAGCCTAGCAACTTCCTAAAACACCCCATTCTTAGCTCATCTACGCCTGGGAGCCACACATGCTACTCACGACTTCTCTGATGGGGTCGTGCAGCTGCAAGCAAGGTTTCCTGTGACCTGGCCCCGCCTGCGCGTCTGGCCTGCCCCTAGCCCACTCTTGACCACATCCCCTTTAGCCGTCCCCACCTGTGTTCACAGTGCTCTCCAGACCTGAAATGTCTGCCTCCCACCTTGTTCCCCACCTGCAGACACACACCATAGCCAATCAAAACCAGCCAGGGCCCCCGGGCCCTCCCCTTCTCCTCCTGGAACTCTTCACCACAAGGCTCTCTCCTCGCCGGCAGTGGAAGGCCCCAGGCACCTCCTGCATGCTGCCCAACTCAGTGCTCGCCAACCAGCGGGGCTCTGAGTCGGCCCGTCTGTGGGTGGCCATGTGTCCTACCTGCCACATTGCCTACCACTTTGGGCCACCATGGTGAGTGTGCCTTGTTCAGCCCTCCCTCCAGGGAGGTCACTGTAGAGCTCGACCTTAAAGCCTCAGGGCCTCTCCTATAAAGTGGGGCTGCATTCCAGCTCCACTGAGAGAACACACACAGCCCTTAGCGCAATGCCTGGTGCCCCAAATTTAACATGTTAGCTACTGAGATGAGGCATCATGGGGGGGACCAGCCCGTGACGGTGCCGCAAAGGTGGGAGTCGGGATACTGCTTTTTGTTTCAGATTGCCAGTGGATTATCCTAGTTGGGGTAGTTGTCTGGGGAGAGTCTGAGAGACCGTGTTCTCATTCCAACCTGAAGCATCAGGTCCTTTGGCTTCTGACCTTTGTTTCCAACAGCCTGAACCCTAACCTGTGACCCTTACGCATGTTACACTAACCGCACACATGGCCAAGAAGTCTCACGTCAGGGCAGACGGTCGCTGAGGTTATGTGATGTTTGATAGGCAAACCTCTCAGAAAGCACTCTCGAGAGCTGTGCTAAGAATACACTTAGGGGATTTGTCATTTTAAGATATGTCCCCCCCAAAATTAATTGATTAAAAGAATATATTGAGGCGCCTGGGCGGCTCCATCGGTTAAGTGTCTGACTCTTGATCTCAGCTCAGGTCTCAATCTCAGGGTTGTGAGTTCAAGCCCCACGCTGCGCATGGAGCCTACTTAAAAAAAAAAGAACATATACATGTCCTCCAGTTCACTGACATCCCTTCAAGAAGCAAGCCTTCCTCTTCGCCGGCCGCCCGAGTCGCGTGGGGGCTCACATGCACTTAAGACTCCGTTCCACCCATATCCCACCGCCGTGGCCCAGGAAGGCCCTGCTGCTGGAGGTGTACGGACATTAGTACGGCTTTACAGGAGGGGCTGGGCCCGCCTCATCCACGATGGCCTAGCACGTGGGATTCACGAAGTTGCAAAGCCTTAGATAAGTGCCGAACCCATCTCTGTGCGTTTGCACCAACTGTGATGAGCCTGTGCGTGTCAAGCTGGTGGAGGTGCTTTGTGCTAAGCACCAAGTCAACCTAATTAAGGTTGATGACAAGGAGAAATGAGGGGAAGGGACGGGCTCTGTAAAACCGAGAGAGAAGAAAACCCCGTCAAGGGCTTGGTTGCAGTTGTGTGGTGGTTAAGGACTACGGGAAAGATCCTGCCAAGGATGCCATCGAGGAATACCTCAAATGCAACAAATGAATAAGTAAAAAACTTGGTTCTCGTTCTTCACCCCCCCCCAAAAAAAGGGTGGGGGCCTTAATTCTCCTCCCCTGAGAATGTACTTAGTGACCCACTTGTAATGACGAGATTAGGGTAGAGATAACAAGGAGTGACTTCTGACACTGGCTTCTGCCTTGGTGTCTCTCTCAGACCATGAGCGCTGGGGGAAGCCTGCCACCCTGTCCTGAGGACACCCAGCCCTGGGGAGAGGGCCGCATGTGGAGGCCCTGAGGCCTCCCACCCACAGCCACGTGAGGAGCCACATTCCAGTGCAACCCCCAGGGAGGCCTGAGCCAGGCTGCCCAGCTGAGCCACTTCTGGATTCCTGACCTCGGAAACTGTGTGAGATAATAAAAGTTTGTTATTTACACTTTTAAGTTTTGGGGTAATTTTTTAATGCAGCAATAACACAGGACTTAGTTGGGGAATATCAGTAGTAATACTACCTTAGGTTTATATGGCACTTTTCAAAGCATTTTAACATCTGTTCTCATGTGAGCCTCTTGAAAACTTCAGGGAAAGGGTGATGACAACATCCTTGACGTGCGGGCTCTTCACCACTGTAATCCCTTTGATAAAATCCTACACTAAGGCTGAGGAAGCCCAGGTGCAGGGGTAAGGGGTGTAGTGGCAGAGTCAAAGTCTTGACCCCATAATATGCTGTCACACCTCACTGCCTTCAGGCACAGGGCTCCAGTTTCTCACCTGTCTTAACCCTGACCAAGATGGAAGTAAGAACTTCAGATGTCCCCTGTCCCCTTAGGAAGGTCCTGTTTTGGCCAGGGGGCTGCCGTGCCCAGAAGGTGGCAGCAGAAACCAGATGTGGTGGCTCCAGAGCAGACCTAGCACACCCTTGAAGAGGGGGGGCCCTCCTGCTGGGCCTTGTCCTGCGGAGACATGAGGCTAAGGGCCCAAGAGATGCCCCACCCGGTTACTGTGGACAACAAGGCCTCTGTCACTCACCAGCCACAGGTGATGGGTGTCTGGGGCCGCAGAAGCCTTTGGCTGGTCCTCTGCTGAGCCCAGGTCACTGTGTGGTATGGAGCTGGGGTCAGGCTGGGCCTGGACACTCACTGGGAAGGGACCTGGAATAAGAGCACAGAAGCCCTGTCCGGACAACCTGGCAGGAACTGGTGAGGGAGGGCTGTGCCCGGGGGTGAGGGAGACAGCTGGCCTGGCAGTAGGGGTCTTGGGGGGAGTCATCAAGCAGAAGGACACGTAGAGAACATGTCAACCGCGCCGGGGGCACGTCAGTGCGGCAGGCCCAAGGGACCCCTATAGGGGGCCCCACATCCGATCCCTGGTAAGGAGCCGACGTTAGGAGTCCCACAGCAGCCAACAGTGAAAGCAGGTAGCACCAGTCATGCGGGAATCCTGCCTCCTCCATAATGCTGCTCACTGCTCTAAATGCAGGAAGGGACGGAGGAGAAAGGCAGATTCACTTCCACCACGGGGTCCCTGAGTCTTGAGGATAGTTGTGGGGGACAGTGAGGTATGCAATTGGCCTGGCCTGGACCTCTTCACTCCAGAAAGTGAATCAGCTACCAAATGGCACCCCCCTGAGAGTGGGAAGAGAGCAAGAGGGTGGTCCAAGGTAACCTTGAGAGCAGAGAAGGTGGCCTGGCCTTGTCTGGTAGAAGCAGTGGGTGAGGTGGAGGGGACAACCCCATGTCCTGTCAGCACTTTGGGGAGCACAGCCCTTACAACAGTGGGACTAACAATCCCTGTGTGGCCAGTAGGATTGTTTTGACCTCTGTGCTGAACAACAGGGAAAGGAGGTGACGATAAGTCAGGTTCTAGAGGGGTGTGTGCTGCATGGCCCATCTGGTTCACTGCAGACACCTTTTCATTGACAGAAAAAAAAAAAAAAGACTAGAAAGATCTGTCAGTCATCTATCTATCCATCCATTTGTCTATCCACCTGCCTATCCATCCATCATCCATCCGTCCACCCACCCATCCCCCATCCATCATCCTCCCATCATCCATCCATCACCCATCCATCTGCCCATAATCCATTCATAATCCACCGATCCATCCATCCATCCTTCTATCATCCCTACCCATCCATCTTCAATCCATCATCATCCATTATGCATGTCACCCATCCACCCATCTATCTACCCATAATCTATCCATCCATCATCATCCATCCAATCATGCATCATCCATCTATCCTTCCATGATCTGTCATTTATCCACCCATCATCCATCCATATACATCCATCATCTGTCTATGCATCCTCCATCCATCCAGTTTTTTCATGTACTAACATATTTATAATAACTATCTCTAGATATTAGAATCATGGGAATGTTTTAAAGTTTTTAAAAAGTGTTTTACAAAAAATGTGGATTACTAATTTAATAAGAAAGTTTTCAAGTTAAAAAAGTGGAGGATGCCTGCCTGAGGCAATGAGGTAAGTCTGGGCTTGAACTTTAAACACCCTTCTTACAGATAGGAGCTCCCTGTGGCCTCTGAGTGCTGCCTGCTCAGGACGACAGTAGGACCCAAGGCAGGACAGTGTCAAGGGAGAAGGGGGTGAGAGTCCCCACTTGCCTTGCTCCTGGGCGCTTGGCCTCCAAGTGTGCACGCTGCCTGCACGGGGCCGGGATGATTCCAACCCTCCTTGGGGCTGAGTGGCTGGCTGCAGGCTAGAGGCCACTTCACTCCGGAGCTTGATCAGGTCATGCTCTGAGAAAGAGCGGTCCCGCTTCAGTGTCACCTCCCCACATGGAGACTCTTCCTCCTGTGGACATAGCAGACTCAGCACTGACCCCTCTGCCCGCCAACATCAGCACCTCCTGCCTGTCCCTGGACTGGCAGGAGACCGTTGCTCGGCCCACTAAAGCCACCCAGGGCCACCTCTGCTTACTGCCCAGCCTCACTATCCTCTATACAGTGGAAACAAGTGCCTCAAAAAAACAAACCCTTCCCCGAGTCCTGTGGGAAGTCCTGGAGATGATCGGTCTGGTGTCTGGGGCGGTCCACTCAGATCGCTACCACCCCTGGTTTCCTTGGGCTCAGAGGGCAGTGAGGACATGATGTCCCCATTGAGTGTCCCACTCAGTGTCACAGTGAGACACACCGGCTTTTGACATCAGCCAGGAGGCTCCTTAGCTTCCCAGCCCCAAGATGATGGAGTACATACATTCCAGCCCTTTTGTGCTATGGGAAGAGGTGGCCCAAGGCCACTGTTCAGTCACCAGTGTGAGCCACCAAGATGGGGAAGTGCTCCCAAGTCCCACCATGTTTGCTCTCAGAGCAGACCCAGGCCCACAGCAGGACACCAGCTCCAAAGAAGAGTGCTGCCCTAGGCCCTGAGCAGTGACGCCCTCAGCTGAAAGCTACATGCTGGCTTCGCTCAGCCCTTCTCACTTGCCCCTTCTCCTCCTCCCTGGTGGGCTCTGACCTCAGATGTGTTCATCTCCTCCATCTCAGCCAAGGTGGGTGCCTTGAGCAGGACCCGGGGCCGTGGGCGCTGCGTGTTGTTCCCGGCATCCGACAGGTTGATGCAAGAAGTGGATTTGGTGTCCCCTGAACAGGCATTGAGAATGCAGGGCAGAGAGCCAAACCCTGGTGGAGGCAGGGAGGTGAGGCAGGACAGGAGAGAGGAGAGTGAGGGGTGGGGACAGAGGGGGAAGGAGCAGGGAAGGAGGGACAGTGGGGGGGGGTGTCCCATGCTCACCCCGGCCACCCCAGTGCTTGCCCCCCACTGGGCGCAGCCTCCGCTCCTGCTTGATCTCCTCCAGGATCTTCTCGTGCAGGGTTCTCTGCTTTTGCGGTAAGGGGCGAAGCCTTCTCTCCGAGACCTGGGGGGGGAGTATGGCAGCTCCAGGAAGGAAAGGCAGTGGGGCTGTGACACGGACACACTGGAGTGGGGAGGAACCCTTGGTGACACAGCCAGGCCTAGCAGGAGCCGGCATAGCAGGGGGCAGACGGGAGGTGCCCTGTGGGCTCTTGGGGGAGGTCCATCTCAGAATCAACCTCCCAGCCCCCTCCCTCAGTGGAGGCGCCATTCTGCCCTTGGGGAGGGAAGGCCAAGGAGGGAGGCCCCGCACAGCTGGTACCTGTTTCAGTGGAGGCCGGGATCGGATGAAGTCCAGGATGAGTTCATGGGCATCCTTCTTCACCCGGGGGGGGATGTCTCCATCGACCTGTGGGGTTGGTACGCACACAGGAGCTGGGCTGTGAGAGGGCTCGCTCAGCCCTGAGCAGGACCTGGTCCTCACGCCACCCTTGCCCTCAGGGGCTGCATGACAGGCACAGGGCCGCTGGGACCACCACTAACTTCCCTACATCTCAGATTCTTCAGGTGGGAATGAAGGTCAGAGGCACCCCTGTCACCCAGCTGTCCTAAGAACGAAATGAACTCCACATTTAAAATTTGCAGAGTGAAGCCAGAACATAGCAAGAGTTATGTGAGCATAAAATGGGACAATCCCATAATCTGAGATGCTGCTGCTGGTCCTCCAGAATCCTTCACTCGTCCCTTCTCCCTGTCCTTGTCACACCGTGTCCCCAAGGTCCCACTGTGTCCCACCGTGTCCCTAATGTCACACTGTGTCCCTGTCCTTGTCACACCGTGTCCCTGACATCATGCTGTGTCCCTGTCCTTGTCACATTGTGTCCCCATCATGCTGTGTCCCCGATGTCGTGCCATGTCCCCAACATCACGCCATGTCCCCGACGTCACATTGTGTCCCACCATGTCCCTGGCATCACACTGTGTCCCTGTCCTTGTCATACCATGTCCCCGGCATCATATTGTGTCACACCGTGTCCCCAATGTCACACTGTGTCCCCGACATCACACCGTGCCCCACTGTGTCCCTGATGTCACACTGTGTCCCTGTCCTTGTCACACCGTGACCCTAATGTCATGCTGTGTCCCTGTCCTTGTTACACCATGTCCCCGACGTCACACCGTGTCACACTGTGTCCATCTTTGTCACACCGTGTCCCTGACATCATGCTGTGTCCCCGTCCTTGTCACACCGTGTCCCTGTCTTTGTCACACTGTGTCCCCGACGTCACGCTGTCCCTGATGTCAGTGTCCCTGACATCACGCTGTGTCCCTGTCCTTGTCACACCATGTCCCAGATGTCACACTGTGTCACACCGTGTCCCTGATATCACACTGTGTCCCCGACAAAACACCCTGACACACTGTGTCCCCAACATCACACCGTGTCATGCCGTGTCCCCGATATCACACTGTGTCCCTGACGTCACACCCTGTCACACTGTGTCCCCGACATCACACAGTGTCAGGTGTGAGCCAGGTGAGTCAGGGCCACATCTGCCCATGCACATCTGAATACCCAGCTCAGCTCAGTAGCCAGCACACAGAGCAGGGGCTCCAGAGCCACCGGTGGGCAGAAGGCTCGGGGGTAGGCTCCTCTCCCCCACCAGCTCACCATGACCTTGCGTAGTTTGTAGTTCCTGGCGCGGATGTCCTGCATCAGCATCTCAAAGGGGGTGAGCTGGAACTCAGTGGGCAAGGGGTTGAATTCCTGCTCCTGCACCTTCTTGAGCTTCACTCCATGGCGGAGCTCCCTCATGAGCTGCACCCAGAGTCGGGCCTGGGCCCCCGAGAAGACGAAAATGGCCCTTAGACCCAGCGGGGCTCCCAGAGGCCTGGCACAGACCCCAGGTGGGGGGGCTGAGCCCTCTGTCCCAGGGCTGGAGGGGAGCCATAGCTTACCCAGTCCGTGTGTCCCAGGTTGTCAAGCTCTGCCAGGGGCTTCTCTGCCTGCAGCTCATCCTCCCGAAGCTTCTGCAGCATCTGTTAGTCCAGGAGAAGGTGAAAGAGTGGTCATCATGGGGATATGGGCCCTACCGGTCTGTCCATCTGGGGACAGTCCCTTAACACATGGGCTAGTATTCCACCAGCAAAAAAAGGGATGAGTGGGCATTTTTGGCCAAGGCTTTGGGTTCAGAAAGATCTAGAGAAACAAAGCCATTAGCTGTGGAACCACGTGGGACAATTGGTGTCCCATCAGCTATCTCTGGAAGCTCCTCCTGGGCAAGGGAAGAGGTGAGAACATGACACCCACCTAGCACCCACATAGAACTTCTGGTTCTCTCTCTTCTCTTGGCTGATCCACACGGCCCAGAGAGCAATGTGTCCTTCAGAGGGAGCAGATGCAGGGGAAACCCTGCTTTCTGTCATCTGTGAAGAGCTCCCAGTCTTCCTTCAGATCTAGCTCTCAGGGTGCTTCCTCAGGAACACCTTAGCCTCTTTGCCCAGGCAACATGCACACCCTCCTCTTGGAAAACCCATGGCTGCTTCTTGACACATGATCCCCACTGGAGTTTTATGGTTATCTGCTTCTTCGAGTGTTGTCTGGACCACTGGCTCCATGAAGCCAGAACCGCATTTATGTTTGTTTCCTGACCTTAGTATTCCTGGTTCATAGCACAACATTACAGATGCTAGGTCATAAACAGTGGTTGGATAAATGAATAAATGGATGGATGCATGGGTGGATGGGTGAGTGAATGGAGGAATGGTGGATCGATGGGTGGATGGGTGGATGGAGGAATGGTGGATGGATGGATGGATGGATGGAGGAATGGTAGATGGGTGGATGGATGGGTGGATGGAGGAATGGTGGATGGATGGGTGGATGGGTGGATGAGGAATGGTGGATGGATGGGTGGATGGAGGAATGGTAGATGGGTGGATGGATGGGTGGATGGAGGAATGGCGGATGGATGGGTGGATGGAGGAATGGCGGATGGATGGGTGGATGGAGGAATGGCGGATGGATGGGTGGATGGAGGAATGGCGGATGGATGGGTGGATGGGTGGATGGAGGAATGGTGGATGGATGGGTGGGTGGAGGAATGTGGATGGATGGGTGGATGGAGGAATGGTGGATGGATGTGTGGATGGAGGAATGGTGGATAGATGGATGGGTGGATGGAGGAATGGTGGATGGATGGGTGGGTGGAGGAATGGTGGATGGATGGGTGGATGGAGGAATGGTGGGTGGATGGGTGGATGGGAGAATGGATGAGTAGACAGATGGTAAGAGGAGGAGTTGCTCAGCAAGTCCTGGGAAAGAGACACAGCTTCGTATTTCATCAAGTAGAGAAAATGCCACCATCACAGTGAGGGCCAAAGAAGAACATGAAGGATTGTTAGGTACTGTTCTTTGCTGAGAATTTGGGAACAAGCTGCTAGATTAACTGCCTTCATTGTCCTGGATCTTGGCAGCAGCTAGAGACTCTGTTCCCACCAACTCCTCCACCTTGGAGAAGCATCGAACCTTTAGCACACAGCTCCCACCTCACTGCCCCCGCCCCCTCCCCACCCACTAAGACAGAACCGGTTACCCTGGCTTTCATCCCAAGCTACCTGCTAAACTGCTTTGGGACGCTCTAGAAAATGCTGCCAAGTCTCAGAGTAGCACATGGTGTGTGATCTGGCTGATTCTAAAAATAGACCTCTGTGTGATCTGGCAGTTCCTGTGGGCAAAGGGCATGAAGGGTGGGTCTCCCATCCCTCCTGGACTTTCTATACCTGTCCCTGAACAGGGTGTTTCTTCCTAAAACGCCAGCCCAGATGTGTCCCACCAACAGACACTCTTCTTTCTCCCTGTCACTACCAATTCCCTGAACGTCTCTTGGGTCAATTACTGGCAAGTCTAGAGTTGTTTGCTCCTGCTAAAGAAAGCGCTTCCATTGTCCGCAGAAGGAACTGATCTTAGCAACAGAACAGATGACTTCAGAGCAAGAAAAACAAAAGCATTAAGACCATCCACCAATTAGAACATTAGAAGAACATCTCTAAGGTGCTAAGGAGGAGTGGGGTTTGGGGGGGGCAGGGGGACAGGGAGTGGGCAGAGGAACCACCCACCCTTGGGCCATCAGCTGGGCTGCAGGTAAGGGCCCAGCGGCTCAGGCAGTGTCACCGACTTGTCCTGCGCTGGGGCCCTGGCCCCGTCAATCAGAGCAATCCTGAGAATCTCCTCAGGCCCACGAGTTCAGGGAAGCTGGTCCGGGGATGAGCATCAGTCCATTCCAAACAACACCTTCTGCCATTTAAGCAAGAGTGGGTGGAGCAAATTGCCCTGCCCTCTGTGAAGTCTGCATCTTCTCATCTGTGACTGCTGATGGGAGGCAGGAGTCCCTGTGCCCAGACCCCTGCTTCAAGGAAGTGTGCCAGTTCCCTCCAAGGGAGGAGATGGGAGAGTTGAAGCAAGATAGTCAGCTAGTAATTCTGGGACCACCCGGGGAGACCCCAGCTCTGCCTGGACTAGCTCTGACTTGGGGCAAGGGACAGCTTTCAGAGCCTCCATTTGCTTAGCTGTAAAAAGAGTGGTGGGGGGCCACCGGCACTGAACTTCCTACCTCCAGAAAACTCCAAGCACAGTGAGTACAGTCGTGCACGGAACTACAGCAAGTGGTTTCCAGAAGGAACCAGCACGGGGAGAGGACAGCCAGGCCTTGCTGGACACATAAACATGAGGATCTGGGAGGCTACAGGAAGAAGGTCCTGGGGCCAAGAGGCTGAGAGCCGGTTACTTAATGTCTCTGAACCGTAGCTCCTTCCTGTGCAAAATCCAGCTTAGGGTTAAGGGAAAAAACCGGCAAAACATCAGAGACAGAGCTGCCCTGAGTGCAGACAGCAAGGTAGGCCTTTCAGAGTCCTGAGCTGAGGACTTCCACTTCCTGCTGGAGAGGCAGAGGGACCAACGCATGGGGAGGTGGGGGTGCGGGGCAGGAAGGAATCTTGGGGCCTCTTCCCCTTCCCCGGTGATCCCTCCCACTTGCTCACCACCTGGGCATACCATGCCCTCGTGCCCTGCTCTGCCCTGGCCCACCCCTCCCTTCCTTGGCTTCCAGCAAGCCCCCTCCACGTCCTCGGCCCCTCCGTGACACATCCTCGCCTGCTCACCTCCTTGGCTTCGTGGACCCTGACGAGGAAGGCCCGCAGCTCCAGTGTCTCCACGAAGAGCGCCCGGCACACGGCCTGGTAGTGGGCCTGCGCGCCCCGGGGGTCGGTCAGGCGGGCCGCGCACAGCCGCATGGCCTGGGCAAAGGTGCGCACGGCGCGGGGGCTGCCCTCGGCCTCCTCTTCCTCCTCCGGGCCCCCATAGCCCTCGTCGGCGGCCCCATAGCCACTGTCTTCACAGTCGTTGTTGGCCATGAGGTCGATGAGCCGCTCCAGCTGCGGGCTGAGCTCCCGCTCCTCGCTGTCGTCCAGACCCCAGTCCAGCGCGCGGTAAATGGCAAAGCCCAGTGACTGCACCATCTGCAGGACAGGGGCCCAGAGTGTCAGGGAAAAGCGGGGGGAAGGGGGCAGCCTGCAAAGGACCCGGCCAGGAGAGGCACACAGCCGCCCCACGAAGTACAAGACAACCTCCCCGAGATGAGAGCAAGCTGCCCACCCAGACGGCGTGTACTGTGAGCCAACCAAACATGTCACGGAACAGACAAGATGCTTTCCAAACAGCACGGCCACCGTGGAAAACAGTTTGGTTGAGTTCCTACGGTCAAACATGCTTTCACCACGTGAAGAAAGGGCAACTCCTCTCCCAAGTATCTAACCAACAAAAAGGAAAGACATGCAACCGCACAGGACTTGACCTGGAACGCCCACAGCGCCCAAACCTGGAATGTCCAAATGTCTTCAACTGGTAGATGATAAACAAAGGTGACCCATCCTTACCGTGGGATACCAGGCAGCAGGGCAAAGGGTCAAACTCATGCACTCCTCTCACACACACAGAGAACACAGAGCCACAAAGCCAAAGTGCATGTTTCCGTCTATCCAAAACTCTCGGCAAGACAAAGCTAATCTACAGCCATAAAAAGCAGGTCAGTGGGTAAAAGTCGGGGGTGGAGGCAGAGATTGGAAGGAGCAGAGGAGCTCACTGAATATAAAGCATATCCCAATAAATGTGATTTAAAAGACAGACAACCGAATTAAACGTTAGCTTTTAATGTCATGTAAGAGCGTATTTTCAATCAGAGGAGAAAGACTAGCGTGTCGCAATCGTTAACTATATAGGATAGAGCGCAGACACCTGAACTCCTAAGGAATGACATCCTCTCCCTTAAAAATATTTTAAGCGGGAGCCTGGGTGGCTCAGTTGGTTAAGCAACTGCCTTCGGCTCAGGCCATGATCCTGGAGTCCCGGGATCGAGTCCCACATCGGGCTCCCTGCTCAGCGGGGAGTCTGCTTCTCCCTCTGACCCTCTTCCCTCTCGTGCTCTCTACCTCTCATTCTCTCTCTCAAATAAATAAATAAAATCTTTAAAAAAAAAATAAAAATAAAAATAAAAATATTTTAAGCTCCATGTAAATTTCAACATATGTAAATTTAACCTGAAAAAGAAAAAAAAAAGAAGAAGAAGAAAAAGGAGTGGCAGCTGAGTGGGGGCAGGGAGCGGGTGGGGTCCCCAGGGTCACAGCGGCTGTTGGAGTCCGGCCAGGCATGGGGCCGACAATGCTGTCGTTCACTTTACCTATGCTCGATATTCTCCATGAGTAGTTCTTTTAAAAGCGTATTAGCTTATTAAAAATCCGAGTTTTGCAATAGCGAGACCTCTTAACTCAGCATTTCTCAACTTTACTTGGCAGAAAACCCTATTTTCATGGACTGCCATTAACAACTGGGGAGCCTACGTTCTCCAGAGTACGTCTGTGAAATATCGCCGCTCTGCTTGTCTGTTTAAGTGCCATCTGCACCTGACGTGCCCCGCTTGCAGGAACGCAGTCCTGAAAAGGTCAGGGAAGAGCCTCGTGCAGGGCCAGAGGGGTAAGGACAACCACATGGACTCTGCTTCTAGCTTGCTTGGCTTTCGTATTTTGACATTTCCCCTTTATGACAATGATACAAAATGACAATAGCTCTTCTCACGTCATCAACTACTCTGAGCCCTTTGCCAGTAACTGCAGGACAGCCCAAGCTCAGAGCTAACCTCTGGTTTCTAGGCAGAGGAGGGAGGCAAAGCCTCAGGTCACCTGACCACAGCTACCAGCTAGCAGAGCCAGACTTGGGACCCGGGTCCGCCCACAGCCTGTGCTCTAAGCCGTGTGCCAAGGTGGGAGGCCACTTCGTGGCAGATGGAGCCACACCCTCACCTTCCACCCCCAAGTCCTCCTGGCCTCCTACAGCGGCAGCCCAGAGGGACTAGCCTGAGCAGAGCTGAAGGAGGGTACGGAGAAAGTCAGTGCTGGGCAGGGGACAGGCGCAAGACAGCCTTCTCTCCCTGCAGAAACGCCTTACAACACACCCTGAGCCTGGAGGGGGCCAGCGCGGGGAGACGGGTGGGCCTGGTAAAAAGGGCAAGGCTCTAACAGAGCAAAGTTCCAGCCTAGAGTCAACAAAACCTCAGTCCACCCTTGGAAGCGGTCTTATCTCTGCTTTAGGTAGGCAAAGGTCACGACCCCAAATCATGAGTCAGAGGGCACAAGGCCGGGGCCAGGCGGAGTCCCCTGTGGCAGTGGGATCCCCATCAGGACTACTGGGCTGGCAAGAACCACGGTCCACACAAATTCCCACTGATTCTTCCGTGGCCCAGAGGCAGATGCCAGGAAGGAGACGGTGGGAGAGGCTCGTGCCCACTCTCTAGTCCACAGCCACCTCTGACCCAGGGGCGGCTCTGCCCTGGTCTCTCCACTGGAGACCACTCTGCCACATGGGGCAGGGCAGACAAAGGGGCCCAGAAGGCCAGTCCCTGCCCCAGCGCATCACAGAGCAGCACCCCAACCCACCCACGCCTCTCTCCCTCTCGCTCCTGGTAGCTGCCTAAGCTAAGGGTTAATTCCAACAGGAGCCTCTTATCTGATGTCTGCTCGGTGAAAAGCTTCTCTGTGCCCCAGCCCAGACACTGGAAACTCCCTGAAAGGCAAAGAGCCCTTGCTTTCCCATAAGGAAAAGTCTGGGCAGCCAGCCAGAGTCTCGGGACCTCCAGCCCTACCTGCCCACTGCGTTTCGGGAACTGACCAGGCTCACAGTGGCCCTGCTTGGGGGTCAGCCTGCTATAACTGAAGGGCCTCCCGGGAGAAGGGGCTGAGACTGCAGGACGGGGTCAGCGAGGGGCCGGCAGCAAGAGTCTGGGTTAGCACGACAAGTGGCCTCCTACCACAGTTCCTGGGGCGGGGCTCTGGGCGCAAGAGTCCAGATTGGACCCCCCCACAAACAAAGCTCTTTATAAACACTTTCAGAACTAACAGGCCTGCTTTGGAACGGCAGGTGGTGCACGCACGTTCACTTGGGGACTCTTCAGACTCACCGTCTGAAAGGCAGGGGAACATTCCTGGGCTTTGGGTAAACAAAGTATCCAGAATACTCTGCCAGCAATGGAAATGAGTCTTGAAAACAAGACTTTTTTTCCCCAAGGCAAATTACGGAAACCGATACATGGCAACAGGACCAGCACCGAGCTCTCTGCACAATCATAGGCAGTGTGCTGCTGGGAAGGGTATCTTATCACTGACATTAGTGAGAACTGCCGGCATGTGGTAATAAGAAAACCCAGAAAAACTGCGGGATGATTTTATTATTCTTTTTTAATTCTCCACAACAGACACTATGGCCTGTGACCAGCCCCCTTCCCTTGGTATAACGCTGTGTTTAATAAATAAATACATATTTGCATAAAGCTTTCTTAAAGGCGGTGGAATGATCAACATTAAATTCAGGACAAATCCCCGGGGGCAGATGGATGGGCCAGGGAGACACAGGTCCTACTGGTGAGATCTGAAATGCACGCGGCATGGGGGCTCGTGGACATCGGTCACCGGCTGGCTTTCCTGTTTGCCCATCAGCCCCACTCCCTGACTGATGCTCTGCGCCCAGGGGGGCCAACCCCACAGACCACGTCACCTTTGCTCCCTCCCTCTGGTCAGTGGGAGGCAACACCAGGAGCTTGGGGGCGGCAGAGAAGAGGGAGGTGGGGAACCACTGCTCCCCCCCACCCCCACCTTCAGCTCTCCAAGGCCTGCCAGGTTCCGCACACCCCGGTGGGCTCTCTGTCCTCACCTGCCCACTCTGTTCATCAAGTCCTTTCAACTAAGCCCTTTGAGTATTTTATCTGTGTCCTAACTCGTGGAAACAATCGTGTAACTTTATATGCTTTTTAATTGACATGATATGACACATACTAGTTTTAATGTATATCAAGTAAACTTAAAAATTATTTTAAAGGTACCTGGGCTTCTGAGCTGGTTGGTGACAACACCATCGTTGTGGACTCTGCAAGAGGAGATAACAGGCAGTCAAGACATACCTCAGCAGCCCCAGGCCCTGGCAAATAGGGCCACCCACCCACCTTCCCTCTCAGGAACACACAGTCTATCCCCCAAAGGCTCCAGTGGAACACCAGAAAGCTTAGACAGGTCGACCTGCCAGTCATTTGGATGGACATCCAGGTGCATTGCCAGGAGACTGATGCAGCCCCTGCCCACACCCCACACAGCAGTCACACCCCAAAGTGACCACTCGGAGGGTCCCCTGGGGAAGCATGGTTGGCACTAGTGTAAAGAGGGAATAAGGAGCGAGCAGGCCAGTTAAGTCTTGTCTGCAGGAAAGCCCTCATGGTCTATAATTCACAGCCTGAAGCCATGCGCCCCCAAATCACAGCAGAGTCAAATGAGAAACCCAGGCTCAAAGGCAACAACAGATTCTGCTCTGGAGTTCCCAAGAGCTGAGCTGGGTAAGTCAGCATCTGGCTACCGCCTGTAGATTCGGACATCTGCCCCCAGACTGCCAGAGCCTCCATCAGAGAATCAGTCTCAGGGTTGAAGCCCAGGTGCTAAATTAGGTACGAGGTATTTTATTATGTTTGTTAGTAAACATGGCACTGAAGTAACATGTTTATAAGTGCTCACTCGTTGTAACCCATATACAACCCAGAAGGTAGGTGGTTTTGCTACCCGTTTCACAGACGAAGATACAGGTATCACAGCTAGTAAGTGGTGGGGCCAGGTGGAGCCAGGCCAGGGGACCCTAGAATCTGCTCCAGCTGCTCCCCACATCACCTCCCAGGTCTGCCAAGCTGCCAGGCTGCAGGAGACACAGAAAACCCACTATTGCTAACCTTTCCTTGAATTAAGCATGCAGCTAGGACCTCTGCTAGGGGGTGAAATTGACTTGCCTTAACTTCTTTTTGGAACGAGGTAGGGTATAAAAAAAACATAAACCATGAAATCTCTGCTAAGTGAACCTGCTAACTCTGCAAATATTTCCAAAATGCCATTAAGAGCTAGGGAGATTGCCAAAGATAAAGGGCATTTGTGTTGGACTGATCCATTAAAGTAATGGAAAACAATCCACTCCCAACATCAGTGAAGCTGAAAGGGGGCAGCAAGCGGTAGCCTGTGGCCCGTGTTCAATCAAAGTTTGCAGCTGTGATGGATCAAGGCAACGGGAAGAAGAAATCAGACTCAGAACAAAGGTGCTCCCTGGAAGCAGCCAGCAACCTGAGTTATCCTGAGGACCGAGAAGCCAGCCTGCAGTGCCCTTTATCGACTGAGCACCGTGTAGTGCTCCGGTCAGGGCAAAGCCTGGGGCTGGAATCATGTTAATGCCTATGTCCCTGGTTTAAATAGTCCATATGTTAACAAAAATAAGTGTTCATTAATCCAATTGTATTTTAAGTTGCAAGGACTTGGGGAGTCTTTGGGTTTTGAGGAGCAAGCTGCCCCTTGTGGGCAGAAACTGTGCCCAGCTCTTTGCTACAAAATTAACAAATGACTTATTATGGGTTCAATCTACAATCACTTCATGCAAGTGGTTACTGATGACTCCCTCTTTGCAGACAAGGAAACTGAGGCTCCGGCAGGTGGAGAAAATCATACAAAACCACACAGCCCATCAGTGACAGAGCCAGGGCCCCAAGTCCGCTGCCCCACCCAGAGCCTCCCAGCTTAACTTCCTGCAGCTACAGTAACCTGTTTGCGGGGGGGCGGGGTGTCCCAGAGCATTGTGCAAACTACCTTCTGTGTATTTAAAAAACTGTCTTGGAGCGAAAGCAGAGAGACCCAGACAGAAGCGGATGGAGGCAGCTCAGACAGAAGCATTCTCACTAGGCCATCGGGTCACATTGAGGTGGGGCTGCAACCAGGACACCCGGTCTCTGGGATGCCGCCCCTCCACAGGGGGCTTCTCTCTGCCTGCAAGGAAGAACATCCTCGCCAGGATGTACTGGGAAAGAAAAGTCACCGTGATGTCTTGTGCATAAGATAACAAATGAGGAGAAATCAACGTGCTAGGAAGTTTCCTTGGAAATGATCCTGTGTCCCGGTAGTAAAAGATGAAAGACATCAGGAGGAACTTGCAGGCCGGAGCTCCCACAGGAAGTGCTTCTCCCTGCCCAGCAGGCGGGGAGGGTGGTAGGCGGAGAGCTCTCGGACAGCCTCACCCCTCTGTGCCTGGGTGGGGAGCACAGGGAAGGAGGAGTGTAGTTCAGATCCCTACCTGCCTGTGGTCATGACCTTGAGGGTCTTGCGTCTCTGGCCTCCTTTCCTCACACACAGATGGAGATTATGCCCGCCCAAGCTAACCACCTCAAAGGACAAGTGAGGGAGCGGGTGCAGACACTTCTTAGGGCACAGTATCCTGTGAGGATGTGGGCAGCCGTGATCACCATGAGGACAGTGGCAATGGGGCCACCAGGACATCCCGACCACGCTCGGACCATGGGCACTGTGACTCTCTTTAGGCTTGGGGGTCAGGACAGAGAATGGCCATGGAGGAGCCAAGGAGTCCCTCTCTTCAGCCCCCCAGAAGAAGACCATGCACGGGCTACCCTAGGCTCCTCCAGGTTCTTAATTACCAACAAGGAACGCAGACCACAAAGGGTGGGGTCCTGGCTTGAGCCCCGGGGCTCCTGCCTTTCTGCATCTCAGGCTGAGTTCTCAGGAACACCTGTGTGGCTCAACAGCGGGGTGGACAGACCGAGGCCCTTGCGGGGCCCCCACTGAGTGCTGGCGGGAAATGGCAACAACCCCAAGGAAGGCAACCTGCAACGTCTCTCAAAACGACACCCCTGCTTATCTTGATTCAGCAGGTCTGCTTAGGTGTGCCCGCGTGGCATGACCGCTGAGACCACGCACGGTAGTGCCCTTCCTAACAGTGACCCACCGGACGCACATATACCCGCTGAAGTTACACGCGGACATCCGCACACGGGTGCACTGGGCAGCCCCTTGAAGGAGGTGTCCTCTATAACAAGACAGTTGGAGCTCCCCAGTAAGGGGAGCGCAGAGGGCAGCACCCCGGCATGCCGGTATACAGAAAACGCGTACACTAAGCTTCTCCTCGTGTGAGAAGCCTGGCAGGGCTCTCCGACTGTTTCCCTTTACACTTTCTGAATCTGGAACATGTAGTATGGCATCCAGAAATCAGCTTACGGGCAAGTGTGAGAGTGAGCAAGCGTGCAGCGTCCACTGGCCCTCCCTCAGTCCAGGGCACACAGACTTAGAAGCAACTCACTGACTTTCCCAAGCCTCCTTGGAGTCCTCTGACAGAACAGTATTGCCTACCACCCAGGTGACTGTAAAGATTCAACACAGACAGGGGCGCATGGCTGGAGCCAGCCGTAGGGCATGCGACGTGTGATCTCAGGTTTGTGAGTTTGAGCCCCATGTTGTAGGGGGCACAGGTGACTTAAAATTAAATTTTTTAGAAAAACCCCAAAATGAAAACCATGTAGTATCTGGCACCTACTAAACGCTTCAATAAATGCTTGTTTCATTGTCAAGAAGCAATTGCAAAACTTAAGTAATGTCTTCGCTCAAGCATCAGTCTCTAGAAACAAGCTGGTGGCAAACCCAAGCGAAGAGGGAAATGCCTGCTCACAGCTGGGGAGCTGTGTGTGTGTTCAGCAAACAGAGCTCTGTGGGGTGGGGTCCCCCGGTGGGCGTGGCGCGATCCTCCTCCGTCTCGCTTCCACCCGTCTCCACAGGCGATGGCTGACATCAAGCTGCTTCCCCATAAACTCAGTTGTCACCCGCAGGGTGCAGCTTCCTCCCCTGCAAGAGCCTAGGACCACCATGACTCACATCAGTTCCGGGGGGACCCGAGTCAAGGAAATGTGTGTTGGCCAGAGGGCTCCCCACACTCCAAGCAATCATGCTGTTAACTGTCCACCTTCTCACCAAGCTCTGGCGAGGGAAAGGCCAGTGCTCCTCTCTTCCTCACCCCGTGCCTGCCAGGGTGACCTGGGGGTTACCACCCCACTGACGGTCACCGCCGACAGGGGCAGCCCTGAGAGGGCTGGTGCATTACCTCTGAGGCACTGCCCCCCGCGGGACTAAGGATGGCTCACGTCAAGTTCCCGAGTACTTCTCGGGGCCCATGTCATGCAGTCCTCACTGTTGGCCCACAGTGCACCCAGAGAGGGTGAGGAACTTGCTCAAGGTCACCTGGCTGAGGTCCAACCCACGGAGAGCCTGGCTCTGAAGCCAACACCCAGACCGTGAGTCATCTCCGTCACTGACCATGCTAGTCACTGGAAGATGGAATGAGTCCTGGCCCTGGAGGGGTTTCCAACAGGAAGTGGGGGACCCCTTCTTAGGTGTGGTGTGGGGAATCCACACACGGCGGCCTGACGGTCCTGGAGTGGATCCTGGAACAGAAGCATCAGCATCATTGGGAACTTGGCAGGAATGCAGATTCTTAGGACCACTGCAGACCTGAGCAGAATCAGGTTCATCGGGGGGGACCCAGTAATCCAAGAATCTGTTCAATACACCCACCAGTGGACTCAAGGGTGAGAACAGCCCTGGTAAAGCATTAGGTGGAGCTCTACTTCCAGAATCCTCGTTCTGAAGTTGCTGACCAGGTGCAGGAACAGGGTCCATTCTACCTGTGTGACTCTCCCATTCCATGACGGGCAGAACAGTGGCCCCCAGCCTGTTCCAATCCAGAACCTGTGGACACGTTATGCTACAATGCATGCAAGGGGACCTGGGGTAGCATATGGAAGTGAAGTTGCTAATCGGCTGCCCGTAAGGCAAAGAGGTTATCCTGCATTTCTGACCTCTCCAGGTGTAACAGAATACATGTGCGTTGTTTTAAGCAGTGAATTTGTGTAACTTGCGCATTGCAGCCAAAGGAAGCTCTTACACCCTGCTTGTAAACTGTTGTGCCTTATCTCCTTGAGTAGACCAGACACTGAACAGGTGGGGATTCCAGGCAGGCTCCCTCCTCGACTAGGTCCTCAGTGGAGGCCGAACTCCCTCTGAGGAGTC